AGTGTGATTCGTTTTCAGCATTCGAGCGTAAAACATGGTCAAAAGTTTTTCCGTGTAGCAACACAGTATATATTTTCGGCAGTTCACTATCGTACTTTGAGAAAGCAGTTGCGGACGTGTGTGTATTGTTGTGTGCGCGCGTAAGTAAAATGCAAGATTTATTTTATAAAAAAAGATCTTTGGTATCAAATACACAAAGGCCAGTTTCAGAAACAGTCAAATTGAGTACACTCGTTCGCTCCTCCGCGTGTCGCGTCAGTCTCGAGTCAGTGCGCAGTTGCTCGTAACCGTTGACACACGAAGAACTCGAATTTCTAAGAAAAAACGTTTAGCATTCGATTTATGTTGTTCGCGACAGAGTAAGCCTCGAGTCGATTTACACATGATCATCTGTGTTGATATTCTATATTTTATAGACCGGTACGATTTAGTGCTGCTTTTGTCATATGCTAGTAAACGTTAACTTTATATTCGGTCGTACTCTCTTACGAGTAGAGTCGATTGCCACAATTAAGTGTTTATTGATATGCGTAAAGCGTTAATAAAAAAAACGTGACGTTGACAAAAATCCAAGTGTTAAAATGAATACACAGTAAAGAATTCATTGAATACCTAATTGATCGAACCGGCGTATGCACAACCTTTATTCATTTCAATAATCTTTAATTTATTGCTTCATTTTGTTATAGTTGGATTCGGTTCAACTTCCACCAATTGACTCTACAGGACTTGTTTCCAAATTCAATTCGCCAAAAAAAATCTTGAATAATATACGTGCTGAAGGACCACTCGACTCCAATTCTCTTTCAACTGACATAGCTCCTAATGTAAGTTTATTCATAAAGCAATACAAAGTCATTAGAGAGATTTCCACTGCTGTATGTGCGAGCACGACGATCACAATCACGATCGTTGAATTTTTTTATTTTTTGTTTTATTTCAATTCTTCTTATGATGATTTAGCATTACGTGAGAAATTGTTTTTTACTAATATGGCACAATTTTACTTAAAATTGGAATCAGAACTTTTAGTTCCTGCTTCAACCGTGCAGTACATCGTGAATGAAAAATACCAAATGAGTCAACAGGGATTGGACGTAGTTAAAAGTCGGCTGTGCAATAAATTAAGCTCATCAGAAGTAATTGATAAAATAATTGATATGATTAAAGAAGAAGACCCAATTGAAAAGTCAAAAAATTTATTTGGTACAAACTATAAGCGCAAAAAATATTATAAAAGTCATTTCAACTACGTCAAACCCTCCCATATACCAATTGATGAAACTCAAAATCATTTTTTCGCCTACATGCCGATATTGGATACTCTTACTAATATATTTAAGGACAAGTCGATAGAGGAAGAAATAAAGAACTTTCAAAGGTCAGTTTTTTCAGTCGATTTTCGATTTTGTTTAATATTGAATTAAACACTGATGTCAATGTGTTATGCATGTTAGAGCTTTATTTTACAATTGTAACAAAATTATAAAAAAGATATAAATTGAAGCAAAAATTTTTTTAACAATCTCTTATTCCGTAAAATGAGAATTATTACTTGAGAAATTACTCTCAGAAGCTTTTCTTTATGCACACACATTAACTTCACATACTCGAATAAAAAACAAGACAATTGAATTGTAATTTATATTCCTGTAATGTCCTTTCTAGTTCGTGTGACAAAGATGGTTACTTAAGAGATTTCACAGATGGGCTTGTTTTTAAAAATAACACATTTTTTCAAGAAAATCCAAATGCATTGAAAATAATTTTATACCAAGACGCATTTGAAATCGTCAATCCTATTGGCTCAGCGAAAAAAAAACACAAATTGATTGGAGTGTATATGACACTGGGGAACATTCCACCACATTTACGAACTCATATTAATACTATAAAACTTGTTGCTTTATGCAAAGAGAAACAATTTAATCATGCAAAAGTTTATGGTAAAATTGTCGAAGATTTGAAGAAACTTGAAAATGATGGAATTCATGTAAATGGAAAAATTGTAAAGGGTGGATTAGTTTTCATTGCAGGCGATAATCTCGGTCATCACTCATTGGGCGGATTTGTTGAAAATTTTTCCAAGTCCAATTACTTTTGTCGATTTTGTAAAGTAAAAAGAAATGAATTCTACTCCAAAAATGGTAGTTGTCGCTTATACGAGGAACGATCTATTCAATCGTATCAAGATGCTTTGGATAAAATTCAAAGTGGAAAAGAATCAGAAGGAATAAAATTTGATTCTGTATTCAACCAGTTACAAAGTTTTCACGTCTGCTCTCCGGGCTTGGCTCCATGTTTGGGACACGATTTGTTTGAAGGTCTCGCAGCTTATGATACGAAAATGTTTATCGATTATTTTATTTCTCAACCGTGGTTTACACTAAAGAAATTAAATAAGAAAATAAGTAATTTTAAATATTCAATAGCAGATAATGATGATAAACCTATCGTTCTATCAGAGAAAAGTAACAGAATTATTGGAGGAGCTTGCCAAATATGTGTAATGGCTGGACGGAGGCATGTCCAGGAATAAGATAATAATAACTGAACGACCCGCGCATACAAGCATACAAGCAGCAAGTGCGTGCACACACACACCGACGCGCCCGCAGTGTGTGCGTGAAGACACGAGCGGTCCATACGCACCGCAGGCCCGCAGCGTCTATGCTCGCATAGAGACAGCGCACACACACACACGGACGCCCCCGCAGTGTGTGCGTGAAGGCACGAGCGGCCCATACGCGCCGTAACGTCTAAGCTCGCATGGGGACAGCGCACACACACACACGGACGCCCCCGCAGTGTGTGCGTGAAGGCACGAGCGGCCCATACGCGCCGCAACGCTTATACAAACGCAGAACACGCGTGGAGGCGCGAGCGGCCGCCCACACACACACATAGAAATGCTGCTCACACGGACACAGCAATGTCGGCACATCATAGCGCGAGGCACACGCGAACGACGGAATACGCACGCGAGTGCCAAGGCCGAAAGAGCGGCGAAATCACACGCACGATGGCGAGCTAAACTAGCACCTGCGGATGTACACGAGCGGATATAGAGCCGCGAATTCACGAGAATAATTCGACGACAGCAAGGGCTCACACGTGCAGCAATAAAGATCGCGCAGCGCAGCACATGTGGCCGAAGCCGGCGTGAAGATGGTGACAGGCCGAATCAGCGAACAAGACCGGAGGCAGGGGCCGTTAAAAGATGTAGTTTATGATCGACGGCCCGAGCGAGCTTCGCATCTCGTCGATTCGTCAATGAGAGGATCGAGCCGGCCTAATTCCAAGAGGCAACTTATAAACTTTACATTTTTTGCGACAGAATGTAGATCACCAAGCAGGACCGGACGAGGAAAAAACGGTAGCAGGAACTAAACACCCCCTCAACAAACATGTGCAAGTCGTTCACAGGACCAGACCGGACACGGAGTCCGATATAAATACCGGGCCACAGCACGGCCTCAGGACGCACTCCGTGACCGAACGCGAACCAGGGCGGAGCTACGCTCAATCGCGCTACACCTTGCTCTAATCGGGACTTAGTCGATTTTTACACGACTCCGTATTAAGCACTTAGACGAATTCGCGAGCCATTCGAATCCGGTAAATACAAAGTAACGAGCACCGACTTAGTTACTCGAGCAGTGCGCGAGCTTGTTCAGCTACATTCACCGACGCCGTGCCGACCTCGTCGACGCCGATCTCCTCGACGCCGATCTCGCCGACGCCGATCACCCTCACCGACGCCGCACCAGCCGAGGCCAGACCGTCACGGGCCCGCCCTACAACAGCCACCACACCGACGCCTTCAGTCGCCGCACCGAACGTCGCTGCCGAAGATAAGAACACCGGTACATAGTAAGCAACATTTATGTAACTAGGATTAAGATTAAATAAACAGTCTTGTGTGTGTGAATCCAAGTCCCTGTGTTATTCATTTCTCCACCACGCCCCACCCAAGAGACATAGAGTCGAGTCATTAGCTTTCAGTCAGCTGGCATATTTTATTAATAATAAATAGATGGTCAAACGAGCCATCACATATGGAACTTTATAAGAATTTTTCCATTAATGATCGAAGATGTCATAAAAGACAAGCTCGATGAAGTGTGGCTATGTTTTCTTATGTTGAACGAAATAATTGAAATCGTGTGCGCACCACAAATTCATATCAAAATACTGCCTTATCTTGAAAATTTAATTTTTCAGTATATATATCTGCGTAAGAAATTATTTCCAGACCAAAAATTACGCCCAAAACATCATTTTTTACAGCATTATCCAAAATTAATTGTATATTTTGGTCCATTAATGCAAGTTTGGGCTATGCGTTTCGAAAGCAAGCACCGATATTTTAAAAGAGTTATGCGTCACATTCTAAATTTTAAAAATGTTACGAAATCTCTCAGTGAAAAGCATGAGCTTTTTCAAAGTCTCATACGCTGTGGGTCAGATAAAAGAATCCAAACAGAATTTTATAATGTCACTGATTTCAATTGGAAACTATACAATGTAAATCTTCAGATGATAATTAAAGAAAACCATTTATGTAATTCTAGCCAGTGCGAAAGAGTTACTTATAATGGTACATCTTATCGAAAGGGAGATGCTATAATAATACGTCAAGACTGTTATAAACATAATGTCATTATTGGCAAAATTTGCTTTTTCCTATACACTGAAGAAAAAGTATTTATGATATTGGAAATCCTCGATACCGAATATTTACCATACCTTCAATCTTATCGAATAGAATCGACAGAAAGCACATCGTATGAGTGCCATGCGATCGATAAACTAATCTACTATAAACCTTTGCCAATTTATAAATTAAGAAACATGCTTTGCATTAAGCATGCCTTTGCGTTTATTACTGATCAATTTTAATATTATGTAAGACCAACATCCAAAAAATACTCATATTCTACATCATTAATATAATATAATCTAAAAAATAATATAATGTAATAATACGATTTCCACAGATGACGCTGTTCAAGATAAAGTACGAAAATCAACCTCTAAAAATGTGCTTGGCGGGATCAATCGAAGAGATAATGACCGTATGTCATAAAAAATTTAATCTCAATAAAGATGTTGAGTATAAGGTATTCATTGTTATTTTTAAAAATAAGACATTTATTATGTACAGAGTTTTAATAATTTAATTTTTACAGATAGCCTTAGAAGACGGAACAGAAATAGACGACAACGAAGTATTGATGGAATTGACTAAAAGAAATACAGATGTTATCGTACTAAAACTTTATAATGAAAATGTTGAAAATTTAGAAAATACGCCACGTAAAGATTTGAATAAAATAAATATGTCAGAAGAAAATTCAAAATCGTTAAAAATAGATTTGCAAAAATGTTTATGGAGTAAAATTTCAGACAAAATTCATCAAGATTGCCTCGAAGGGAAAAATTTAAAAAGTCGCAATAAGACTTTGATTGCTTCCACCATCGCAACTCATATGATGGAAACCAATAACAAAACGTTGAATGTAGCTCTACAGTTTGCTGAAAAGTTATGCGAAGATCATCCAAAAACTTTCGCAGATTCTGTCGGCGGTGTCGTATGGGGTGATGGAGTTCACACATTAAAACAGCAAATTTATAACAAAATAGGGTACAGAAAAAAAGATGAAGTGAAAAAGCGAAAAAATGAAGACAGTGATGACGAAGATGTTAAGAATAGAGAAAAAAAAGCTGAACGAAACAAACGTCAGGACGAACATGGATGCATAAATTTTGCTCCGGCTCTACCAGAAGATTACAGTGCAGATGATCAAGAAGCAACACGTATTAAGCTCATAGAACTATTTAAAAATCAGAAGAAAAATATGGAAGAAATAGTTGATCTCATGAAATTTTCGTATCCAACCTTAAGGAAATTGATTAACGAAATGGATAGAAACATGCAAAGAATAATTAGTGATTGGCCATGCTTAAATCTTGTTGATGTTATCGTGGATCACTGTAACATTCTGCTTGAAAAAAACTTAAAGGCAGTATGGTTAGAATCGCTGGAAAAAAAATGCAAAGTTATTCGAAGATATTTCAAGTATAATCAACAATTTAAAAATGAGTCTTATTCTGCTATATTTGAACAGTGTAAATCATTTGAGGTTCTTAGAAAGGACCAAGTCCCCAAATTACTGGTAACTTTCGAACTTCTATTCAAGTATTTTTCAGAAGACTGCAGTCATCTCTGGAAATTTAAAAATGATGATGATGATGGTGGCAACGTTACTCAGTATCCAGTTATAATCATAAAGGGTAAACAATTTTTTGCTACTATTTTATATTTTATAATGTCCAAATATTAAATGTTCAATGCTCTGTTAATTGTAGGTGAATCTATTTACAGTGATAACTGTAATATAAATGTTCAAATTGGAGAACACATCAACATATCATGCAAGGACGTGTTGGAAGGAATTTTTGTCAACTTTCTATGCTATTACTTATATGGATATGCTTATCCAAGCCAAATCAACAAATTTATGGAGTTTCTTCAGAGGTAAATATTACTTGAATTTATTTTTATACAATTTACTATATCAGTTGTATATTATAACATTCTCTTATTTACAGGATTTTTTTTAAAATAAACCCGACTGTAGTAAAACCAGTGTCCAAGAAACAAAAGGCCACAAGCTACGATCGTACCGTTTTTAAATTAGCAAAAGTTTTATCAGAGTTTTCGGATGATTTCCACTTCTAGGGATAAGTTCTGTTTTTAATTACGTCTTATAACTTTTTCAATTCGTTAATTTTACTTTTCTATGTAATATTTAAAAAAAAATACATTCAGGTGTACCATGTCAATCATTTTTAAACATTAAAAAACAAAGGTATGAGTTTTGTTCAGAGTAAACTAGATTTAGTAAACTATATAGTTCGTGCTACCAAAATTGACCGAATTATGATATCAAAATCTTAATGATATATTTACATTTATTATTAAGATTTTGTAATTTTAGTCTAGAACCCTGTAATTTAATAATTTAATTGATTAGATTCTTTATCATGACCCAATTTTAATTTAAAAATATATACTAAGTTATAATCTTGCATTAAATTTAATTTGGGCATTTTAATTAATTTGATATTTACAAGTTAATAATATTTAAAGAAAAAAAAACAAATTTCATTCATGTTTTAAAAAAAATTTTTAATGACATTTCTGTAAATTTAATATCATAGTGATAGGAAGTTAATTTCAAGCATTAACTTGAAAAATGTTCATCTAATTCATTAATTTTCATGTTAACTTATTTTTAACTTTTCAAAAAAAATCCTTGATTTTCATACAATTATGATTAAATTTTTTTCATCAACAATCATTATATTTATTAATTTTTGTGAAAATATTCAATAAATAGTTATCTTTGAAATTAATAAACTTTTATTAAATTTAATATACCCACATTAATAACATATGCCATAAATATATGAATTTTAATGAAAATTTTTCATACAATTTTTTAATGACACATCTGCAAATTTCAGTAATAAAAAAGAAGTTTTTGCAAACACTTGCATTAAATAAGATTGATAAATTTTCAGTAATATTAATTAACACATATTAATCACATGTAATGACCGTGCTTGAAATAAACTTCCTTTTTTTTTTTATTAATTTTGACAAAAAAATTTTTAACAGTGTACGGCATACGACAAGTTACGACCGCTCCGTATACCCCGCGAATGAACCCTACCGAGAGGGCCAATCGCACGTTGAAAACGATGATCGCCGCGTATGTAGGTGCGAACCATAGGGATTGGGACAAGCACTTACACGAGCTGCGCCACGCGATCAACACTGCGGTACAGTCGTCGACTCGTGTATCGCCCGCGTTTCTCAATTACGGACGACATCCGCGACCCGTGAAGAGTTTGCGTCGCGAGGTAGAAGCCCCAGCCGTCGAATACTGGGAGGTCGACGAAACTGTGTGGCTCGAACGCATTTCGCGACTCGATGCGATTCGCGATCTCGTGAAGCTTCACTTGGATAAAGCGCATGCGAGACAAGCTCGCCACTACAATCGCGGTCGCAAAGACGTTCGGTTCGCAGAGGGCGACATCGTGATGCGACGCACGCATCACTTATCCGTCGGCGCGGACGGCTTCAACAAAAAGCTTGGTTCGCGTTACGAGGGCCCGGTGAAGGTGTTAAAAGTTCTCTCGCCCTCCGTCTACGTAGTCGAGACACCGAATGATAAGCGCGTTGCAAAGGTCGACGTGAACGACCTGAAGCGATATATACAGCCGCGTAAGACAGACACCCAAATCGCATGTACCGAGTTTATCATAATGAGTAGCGACTATGAGTGCGAAGATAACTAATTTTGTTCTCGACATCTGTTTCAGAAGGACCTCCAGCAATAAGTCGCCCCGAAGAGTGTACGAGCACCGACCAGGACCCGAAGATGCGCCAGCGATCGGGCCTCCGGACGAGAGGAACCCGGGGACACATGTCGCGGATTGCCGCCCGCCTGCAGCGGCAGGCCGAGGACCCACCGTTACCACCCGCGCCACCGGCCCCCGTGCCTCCACCTAGGCTGTCCGAGTACACCAGGAGTGTACTGGCAGCGGTCGCCGAAGACACGAGGCGGGCCGCCTTGGCGGCCAGTAACGCCCAAGCCACGGACGGAGCCAACGCGACCACCTCGGACACGGCCGCAACGACTTCCGCCACCACTGCGAGCGCTGGCCTGGTCCCGCCTATCCCGGCTGAGGACCGAGCACCGCCCGCAGAAGCCACCAGCGAGGTCGTCCCCGAGACCGTCAACGAGGACACCGCCGAACGACCGCCTACGTCGAGCCAGGAGCAGGGCGACGACGACGTGTTGGTGCTGTGCGCGTCCGACTCCAGCGACGAAGGCGAAGCCTGCGGCGGAGCCACGGCGAACGAGTTCTCGTTCCCGCCCGTCGCCGAGATCCCTGGCCATTGGAACGACGAGGATTGGGATGAAGGCGTGGATGAGGGTGCCTTCCCTTGGCCCAAACCCCGCTACCCACTGGCCCGTTTCCCCGCTCCGCACAACCTGGGCCTGTCAAAAGGCCAGCGTCGACAAGCACGTCGAGATAAACTCGCCGCGGCCATCGAGCGAGAGCAGAAGCTAGGCGAGGCTCTCAACCGGGGCCAACTCCACGCTCCAATTTCACCGCCGTCCAACGATCCGGAACGACTCCAGCGGCTCCTCGTGGAAGTTCCGGTCACCTCGTCCGCTGGGCCCTCACGGACCCCGGCTCCGATCCGGCCATCATCACCACCGCGGCAGGCCCTGCGCGCCATCGAGCCACCACCACACGTCGGAGAAAGGGCCCTCGTGGCACAAGCCGTCACCGTACAGCCGAACGCCGCGATGCCTCCAGCCGTACAAGTCCTTGCACCGCCCGGACCAGGTGCCATGGAGTGGGTCGCCGCACTCAACCAACTGGCCGCAAATCTAGGCGACGTGAGTCGGGAGGTCCGAGAGGAAGTCATGCGGGCAGCCGTAAGGCCTCCGAGACGTCCCAACGCAGGTAAGTCAGAGGGGCCCCCCTCCAAAAGACGTGCGGCCGCGGCCCCGTCCGATGGAGAGCCCGAACAGGCGGATAATCAGGTATGTTTTTTGTCGCAGGAGAAGAGTAAGAAGAAGAAGCTAGGCGACCCCGCTGCACCGGTGAGTCACCCTCCTAGCTTCTCAAGCTCAATGGCAGCGCCGTAAGCGGCGAAGGTAAGCAATTGCACTGAGCTTTACCTCGAGCTTGCGCGACAACTCCTTTCCTTGGCGCGACCGTGGTAGGTCGCGGGTAAGGGAGGGGGTGTGACGTTGTGCCACTGCAAACGTCGTCGCGTCGGCTGCGAGAATTGGATGATTAATAATGTTGGCGACGCCGATAATAATTGCGTGGTATCTTTGCAGGTACGAGCGAACAAAGGAGCGAAGGTAGAGCCCGGCTCGCGACCGCAGTGGCGCGCGATCGTAAACATTGCCGTGTTTACGTTCGCTTGGCCCGCGCAGCGAAGTCGGAGCTGCTACAGACACGAGACATAGACAAGACGACACGAAGATCCTCGTGACCCGTGCGTGCCAATTAGCAGACGATCGCGACACTTGTATTTCGACCGTTGAGTAGTGCAGAGTGGAGTGTTCGCGAGCCTTTTTGAGTTTTTCTCATTGTTGAGTAGTTTTGTGTGGAGTAATTGTAGCCGAGCGTGTGTGAGGAGTGTGCAGTGAGTGTGGCGTTGCACAGTAGAAGTAGTTGCCGCTTGGCCGCTGCGATGTGGGAGCGCTGCTGTATGGTCGCAGATCAGTCAGCAGCTGCGTGTAGAGAAGCTGACCAGTCTTAACCTGCCCAGCGAGCAGCACACACAGCAGTCACTCCGGCCTTAGTGCCGACACAATAAATATATTCAATCTAATCCCCTCGCTCTACCTTACTTAACCCGTGAACTCCTTCTGATCAACCTACTACAGGGTGTCTTCGCCTCCCTGGTCCAAGTCTACCCAGACACATAAATAGCTAAACGCGATAGTGGTGACCTCGTAAAAGTCGAGAATTTTCTCGCCGGGTCATGAATTTTTTTCGAGCAAGAGAGTGATAAATTTTTCACATTAAATAAAGTTTTCGAGTGACTTAAATTTTTCACTTTAAATAAAGTTTTCGAGTGACATAATTTTTACATTAAAATAAAGTTCTCGAGTGATTTTGCTGCTCGCATATTTCATCACTTTAACTCAGCAGTTCGCTAGAGTTAACAGTGAATTAGCATCAGTTTCATAAAGTTCGCGAGTGCCAAATTTCGCGAGTGTCGAGTTCGCGGCCATTACGCGCGGCCGAAAATTCTCGCCGTTGCGTGTGTGAACACGACTTACCGGCTTAACACGTGTGTGCGGCGGCCATTTTTTTCGCACAACGCAGATAGTCGACGTCTGCCGTTGGCGCGTTTGAACTCGTTCGAGTTCGCAGCCCGTACGTGTGTGTACCACAATTTCAATAGCTGAGTAGCCATTTCCGGCTCTCGCTGTCGCAACTTTCCGATTTTTCTCTCTCGAACTTTGGCATTGGGCAGTGCTTTTCAGCCATTTTTGAGCCGATTTAACTCAAGGCTGCTAATTTTTCATTGAATTTCAAAAATTTTTGAAAATTTTTATAAGAAGCTAAGCTTGTTCGTTGAGTTCCTTAGTGAACAAAATAATCAAATTCTTTTGAATTTGGAAAAATAACGGTCCGCTTTGGACAGGCTTCAAGAGCCACGCCGACTCATCTGAGTGTGTTCTCGTGGATGAGCAAGCGGTACGACGACATCGGCTTGGGCAGCGGCGAGCAGCGGTGATTTGCGGTTTGCATCGGACATCGGCTTCGGCGGCAGCAGCGGTGATTTGCGATTTTTCATCGAACATCAGGGATGAACAACGACGACATACTTCTTCGTTGCGAGGTCGACGATCTAACGTATCACGAGTGGCGCAATTTAGCTAGAAAGTAAGCTTTTCTTTTTCTCGTTTCGCTCGACTGCATCCGACCACGCGTACGCGAATTTATTCTTTTTAAATATAATTTTTTGAAATCGAATAAATAGTATGCTTTCTGCCTGCCGATGTATTTTTTGCAAATTGTAAATTTTTTGAGACGATTCTCGTCGGGGCCTGTGATGCCTTTATAATGCTACCGCACTGTCGTCATCCTTGCTGCTGGCGTTAATCGATCTCGTTAGTTTCTTTACATCGG